TTTATTTACCTAACTACAAAGAAAAATATAATTTATTTACATATTATATTACATACTTTATATAAACATAAATCAGTCAATAAAATAATTGGATGGCAATATGTGTGGTTTAGGAGGATGGCGAGCTTACAATCTCATTATACATTGTATGGGAATTGCATAAAAGGTGGAAAAGCTTTACTGAAAACATATGCTTTGCACAGTACTGCTGTCCCCGAACTCCAACTTTCCTATTACCTTTCATTCCCATAAGCCTGTTTTGGACATGCTGTTGATATAATATCAGGTTGCATATCACGGATGTGCTTGATAGGACTCTCCAGCATGTGAAGTGCTACCTATACTTAGAATGCTGCAGCTGATAGCTGTTATCAGTGAACAATCGCCCTTTTAAATGAGCTTGTTTAAAAAAAATAACGCTACATTTAGAGCATAATACCATCTATTTTAGTTTGAAATGACACTTGGCTATTAAATAGAACCTCTTGATGAAATACATTGAACAGAGAGCAGAATACAGTGATTTCTGGGAAAAAGACAATTGTCTCAAGAATATCCAACTTTCTTATTTATGTAGGAATAAGTAATACAAGAAATGGTATAGTGCTGTCAAGAATCTTAACAGCAGGTCTGACAATTGAAGATGGAAAACTAAGGTTCATCAAATAGCTATATGAAAAATGGAGCCTCTGCAAAATCAAAGAAGCTATCTGATGTTTCGTCTAGTCTCTGCAGACTGCATACAAAAATAGTGTCTCTAGTTCAAGAAAATGCATTTGAATATACTTTATGTATGTGCTGTATGTATTTCACGCTGAATTAGCCTATTTATTATTATTATTATTATTATTATTATTATACAGGATTTATATAGCACCAATAGTTTGCACAGCGCTTTACAATATAAGGAATACATTACAATCACAATACAATTCAAGACAAGATGGTAAGGAGGGCCCTGCCACTGAGGGCTTACAATCTAAAAGGGAGGGGCAAGTGATACATGAGGAAGTAGCTGTGCGGATTTGATTGTTTGAGAAAGTGATTGTTCAGTGGTTAGGTTGAGGTGGGATAGGCTTCCCTGAAGAGATGAGTCTTATGGGATCGCCTAGAGGCAGTCAGTGTGGGAGATAGACGGACAGGTTGGGGTAGAGAGTTCCATAGCATGGGATAGACTCTAGTGAAGTCCTGGAGGCGAGCATGGGAGGAGTTGATGAGGGAACTGGAAAGCAGGGGGTCTTGTGAAAAGCGGAGGGGACGCTTAGGGTAATACTTTGAGACCAGGTTGGAGATATAGCTGGGGCTAGAGTTGTGGATGGCTTTGTACGCGGTTGTTAATATTTTTTATTTTATCCTTTGGGCTATTGGAAGCCAGTGCAGGGATTGACAGAGGGGGGTTGCAGACACTGAGCGGTTGGTTAGGTGAATGAGTCTAGCAGCTGCATTCATGATAGACTGAAGTGGGGGATAGCCTGTGTAGTGGAAGGCCAATGAGTAGGGAGTTGCAATAGTCCAGACGAGATATAACAAGGGAGTGGATGAGTCATTTTGCGGTTTCCTTGGTGAGGAAGGGGCGTATTTTGGAGATTATCTTATGAGTTTTTGACTGATTGCCCTTCCTTGTCTGTATTTGTCCATCTTTTTTTCCAGTTAAAGAAACTCATCAATCTCGCAGATACAAGCAATGAAGAATCAAGAATTTTAAATTCAGCGTTTTTTCTTTCCATAAATTATGTTTTATTCACTTGCACTGTGTCTTTGAACTTGCTAAAAACTTTACTACTCCAGGAAGGGGTAATTTCCCTATAGCACTGTCCCCTCTTTCTTTGCACATCATAACCCTCTTATTTTCTGAGAGTGCACTACCTATGCTGACCCAGCTCCTCCAACTTCTCTTCACCTCCCTACATTACCTTTTATGTAGCTTCTGGAGGGGGAGCAAAGGAGAATACTATAAAATGGCACTTGAGTGACAGCTCTGAGTCTGCTGGGGCTGTTAACATTACATCCGAGATAGTGGAAACCAGAAGCAGTCTTAGGACTTTTGGATGTCTACATAATGGAGGCTTTTACAGGTCATCAGCATTGAAGGCTTTTTTGAAAAGAAATGGTCAAACGACAGGGTCTCTTTAAAGCTGAACTCTGGCCAAACTGCCAAACACAAATTTGAGATATGTATATGGTAACTGTTTTACCTTCCAGAGGATTTGTGAAATGTTCAGCTTAAAGATCAAGAAAGCCTTGTCAGAAAGCTTAACAAGATCCTGTACTCCCAGTCTACACGTAGACTATACTGCAGTTCAGCAAGATCCTGCGTTAAGCCCACCCCAGCTTGTGAATGGGCAATGAAGCTGTAGTGGTACAGTATAGGTCATTACTGTGCTTTAAAGTCTGCTGGCAACTGCTTGCCAGTCTGCAGGAAGTTGACTCTGCTTCTTCTGCCCTCTCCCATGGTGGCTCCACTGGACTTACTCACCTAGACCCAGTAGATGCAAATCGACACAACCACTCTAATAGCAACACCTTTCACCTTGTATTTTCCTGACTCATTTCAATTTCTCAAATACCCATTTTTCTCTCTCTGTCCACAACCTTATCAGTTTCACGCTCACACTGTCCTCAAACTCCATATATCTCCAAACAGAAAACAGTTACTCATAGAATCCTTTGCCACTTCAACCCTTGTGTTCTCTATTCTGCTACTGACTACCTCAATGACAAAATCTCTTATCTGTCCTTCCCTGCTCTCTTAGGAACATCATACAGTCTGTTATGTGCATAAGTGTGCACGTTTCACTGCATGGATGCTTAAACAGATGCTTAAACAGACAAGAAATATTGCTTGCACAGACACACAATAGAGCACACACATCATTACAGATTCACAAACATGTGTGCACTCCTACCACTTACATTGCTGCCAAACATGCTATTTAAACCTGGGTTCTGCATAGCCTTATGAATGAACGATCTTTCAGTCAGTATTTTTGTGACCTGTGATCTCTAATCCTGGACTTGTGCTTGGCTTTCTTTGCTGACCTGGTTTCCATTTGCCCTGCTTTTGGATTCTCCTTATGCTTATGATTACCGTTCTGTTACTGACCCCAGACAGGAATTCTGCTGTGTACTTTGCAGCCTGCATGTTGCCATCCTTTGCTTGTCTCCAACCTCGATTTGGCTCCTCGCTACTCCTCTGTCACTTTCCCTGGTCTGTGACCTGACTATTTGAACCTGGTGTTTCCTCAGCAGATAGCTAGGTGTACACCTGCACATCTGATACCAGCGCTCCCGAGTTCAAGTCACCAGTTTCTGCACCTAGGCACTTGTGGCCTTCCTTCACTCTTGCAGGCCATGTCTCAGGTTTGATGAGTACTCAGACAGGAATTGTGCAAATGGCCACCGTCGTCATCTCCCTTTACAGGTACGTGACAACCTTACTATTTCTCTCTAAAGCAGCTTGCTCTTATCTTTCCTGGAAACACTTGCTCCCCTTTCTACACACAGAATTAGGCTCTGACTGCCAAAACCCTGGGATGACTAGAAGTTTAAAAAGTTTAAAAAGGAGTCAGGCACTTTAAAGAGGACCGGTGGGTCAGAAGTGGTAATGTTTAAAGTGTAAGCCAGGAGGAATGTGTATCTGCATCCACGTGTGTGCACCTTAATCAAATATATTATATGTTGTATTCATTTAATATCCTGGACCTGTACAAGGTTTCAAAAGAATACCACAATGCTAAAAGTTCCTCTATAACAACCTGTTATTCAGTCCACATACTGATTAAATTCATACGCTTTGAAAATATGTCAAATTGTTAAACTCAACCAAGAATAGGAAATGTTTCTAAAGTCTATATAGTTCTTTGTATGGGTGTGAATTAGTGAGGCATTTCTAAAGTGCTTGAAACATTTTTAGTGAATCACCCTGACTATATTGTGCATATCATTCAATTGAATGACGATATAAACGTGTTATCTAATACTGTAAACAGACAGTAACATCTCAGTCATTCATTACCTTGAACTCTAGAACAAAGGTTTACTGAGTGGCAAGCTTTCAAACTGCACTGTTTTCTCTCCACTGCTCACAATTGTTTTAAAATACTTTAGCGAATCCTTAAGGTTTTATTATTGCGCGAATAGAACTCCCATGATAATGGTAAGTGGGAAGAGGTTAAGACGAATACTATAGCACAACCAGAGCCACATCATATTGGTATTGTTTACTGGATACTGGCATATATAATAATGAAAAAAACTGAAAGAATGTTTGAAGCCTGAAAGATGTACGTAGCGTTATTCCCTAACAGCCTTGCTGTTGTCGTGTTTTGCTATTCTGTAAGGCCTCTTCTGGAACCTTGTACCTTGTTTTGTGAGAGGTGTGTGGTAGAGGAAGTTCTGTCTGTCTTGCTAGCTGGCCAACTCCTGCCGAGTTCGCCACAAGTGAGTGGGACTAGGCTTTGACAAAACAGATGAGCCTTAATCTACGATGGTCCTTTAGTAGCCCTTTGGGAGAAGTCCTTAGATTGTGAACAGGCTGTCTGCCTGTTGTGAGGCATCAGGGCCGGAGGGCTAGGTCCTCGCTTAGACAGTGTGCCTGGAGAGAGGCCCTAGGCTGTAGCCCCGGCCTAGAGAGTGTGACCCTCTGTTCAGTCTGAGTTCCTGGAGGCCATGTGAACCTAAAGAGTACTGTTAGAGTAGAGAGCTGTGAAGCGGAGTAACGCTGGAACCTCCTGTTTTGTGGCTACTGCACTCCAGTGGATTATGTGTAAACTCCTGAGTGCCGAGACCCACCCAGTAACTGTTAGCTAAGGAGCTGTAGGATCCCCTAGAAGAGTTTTGGGTATTCCACCTCCTTTTTACCAAGTTGTAATAAAGAGTTTGTAACTGTATTCAGGAGTGGGCCCGCATTCTTCTTCAAGAGAAAGTAAGTGATATATCTGTGGACAATTGTAATAGGGAGTCCTACTTGTAATACGAAAAACCTTTAGGTGCAGGCACGTAAGATGTAAAGACTCAGAAAAGTAGATGTAACTCCCACTCCGCAGAGGCTGATGATCTCTTTTACCCTGGTAAATGTAAGTAACTACTGTAACTGTAACTTCTGTAACTAGAAACAAGCATTGCAGTTCTGCACATATGGGTGCTCCCTCTCAAAGCTGTATTTTTACATCAAGATACCCCATCCATGCCTAAATAAGACACTCTTTAAAACAAGCTCCACCTCCTATGTAATGTAATTATTTTAGTAAAAAATACTGCTTGATGGGAGCATGCACTCTGCTTTATATACAGAGTTAGTTTTACACTGTACAGGCTACCATAAGAAAGAAAGGTGAAATGGTTTCATCATAGTATATAAATTCTAAAATCTGGTGCTGTCTACTCTAGCCCTGCAGCCCTAGGCACTGGCCCACAAATGCCAATATGGTAAATACAGGTCAATAAACAGATTACCCCTTATTTCTTTCATTATAATGCAGAGTCAATGTAATCTGTGATCGGGTTGGACCTCAGGATTACACAGTTCCTGAAATAGTGCATCATAATGCATAAACGTTTTCTACACTAACAAAGGAAATTTTATATTGATAGCAAATGATTTAACATTGTTCAGGATAGTATGACGACAGAATGTTTACCAGGAGCTGGATATCAGTGTCAGAGTGTATCCCATGATCCTATATAAGTGAGGTATATCTATAAACACTTAAAACAAAAAAAAATTTGGAACTTGCTGTTGCCAACCTGCTTTTGAAATTGCTGGTAGCCTGGCTGTTACTCTGATACTCTGGCTTCAATGCTGACCTGTATATCACCTCCTGGTAAACCAATAGTGACATTCCGAATGTTCCAGCCCCACTTATTTGATAATAAATGTCCTAGGAGCATCCTTGTCAGGGTGGAATTCTTGTCATTGGATGATATGAATGATGAGTGCCAGTCATTTTGAGTAGGTTTTAAGATATTTTAATAGCATGTGCATGAAGAAGAGGGAAGCAGGGTAAAATGAGAAAATTATACCTGTAGAATGACATCAAAGCATAGTCCTTTGGTCTTGTGCATAACGTTCTAGCTTTCTGGGTCCCTCTCTCTCAAAGGGCTTTACTGGCTGGATACATATCTTGAAAATTGGTTCCTTGCAAATAAGGTTCCAGTGTGTACTGTCTTAACATTTAGGCATGACAGCAATGAGAAGGTTCCTGCGTGATGTCCCCTAACTCAGTCAGTCTCTCACCACTTCCATGTGGGGAACAACTGCAGCTCTACTTCCTCAAGGCCTGTAGCATTCCATGGCAGCCAGTAACTTAGGGACACCTCCCAAGAGGGGAGATCCCCACAACTCCCCATGTCCCTAGGCCCTCAGTACTGGGACCTAGACTGGTGGTTAGAGATCCAAGGTGATCCATCCTCTCAAGGTGAAAACACTGGAGGGAAGAGTGTGCACCCGAAAATGCCTCAGTTATTTTAAAGCTCTCCCAGCATGCACAACAGGCTACCAAAGGCTGCTGATTGGCCAGGTATTAAACATCCTTAATATGAAGTGTTATCACTAGTACACCCTGCTGGAGCACAGTCACCAAAGCAGGTGACTGAGAATAATTACTGCGTACTTAGAGAACATAAGCCAGCACACAGCCAAGCTGACTAACCTCACTATCAGATCACAAACAGAGGAGAAGAATTTGGAAAAATACTAAATTCCTACACCTGGAACAAGTATGCAGATCAGAAGAGTCAGAGAAAAGTCTTAGGTTCTTAAACTGTATTAAAGCCCTCCTCATGTATCACTTCCCCCTCCCTTTTAGATTGTAAGCCCTCAGGGGCAGGGCCCTCCTTACCATCTTGTTTTGATTTGTATTGTGATTGTAATGTCTTCCTTATATTCTAAAGCGGTGCGCAAACTGTTGGCGTTACATAAATCCTGTATAATAATAATAAAAGCAAGAGAGTCAGAATTACAGCCATGCAACTATTTTAGGAGAGATCAGCAATGGAAGTATATCTGCCTCCTTGATATATCCCCCAAACCACAAAACTAGAGCTCTGCTATTTGTGGCTATAGTACTGAAATAGAAAGTATCTTAGAACTGTCAATGGTATTCTGCTAATCTCATTAACATTCATCATTACCTTTACTTAAGAATCCCCATTATCTGTCCAGGCTATTGTATCTAAATTGTTCTGCCTTGCTGTTCGTACTTAGCAAAATCAGTTGGTGCATAAAAAGCTCTGTAAAGCTGGCCATACACCTTACAGTTTAGCTGCAGATATTCTGTGGTCAGATGGAAAAGGTGCAACAGATTCCTCCATCTACACTTAACTGTTTGGCTGGAGTAATCTCCACCTGGGCCAACCTGTTGCACTTTTTTCCATCTGAACACAGAAAATCTGCAGATAAATTGTAAGGTGTATGGCCAGCTTAACACAACAGCCTTGGTATAACCCCCACCAGAATGCTGTCTGCGTGAAGGCTTTGTGGTCACCCCATGCTTGTGGGTTTCCTTGGCTTTCTCTAATTTTCAGAAAGGTCACTTGGGCTGAGGGACTAATGGAGCAATATTTTCTGCTAAGTGTTTGTATACAGATAAAACATAATTGAATACAAATTGGTATAACAAGTGTCTCTGTACATCTATTCACAGAGGGATACATATCAAGCAAATTAGCAATACAATTAGATGCAAATCAGGCTGACTGTCAGTAAGCAAAGTCTATGTGACAGTTGTGATTTGTATTTGCGACCCTGCAGTCATGGGAAGCAGGGAACGTATTTGCACAGGTCTGCATCAGAATAACTAATGAAGATGAGACAGATTTTCATAGAAATGGATAGGTTTTCACTCCAAATATATGCACAATTAACAAGTGGTCAGTGGCAGGTTTTATTTGGTTGCATTGCTATTTTAGAGCTAGTGTTGACTGACTTGTGTTCGCTGTTTGTAAACTGCTTTTCCATACAAGTCTCGCCTGACTTAAGGCTGGCGAATTGCAGGTCAGAAAGAGATCAACTGCAGGTCTAATTCACCTTTCAGTGAATTCAGAAGGATCTCAGCAGTGTCTCAAACTAATGTTAAACTGATGCCATTGACACAAGCCAAAAGCCTATCGACACAAGTCTGCAGAGCAGTAGAGGGAAGAATTTATGTATGAAGCAGCATAATTATAATACATCTGTCTCATAATCTGTTTTACTGCTCCTGTTTAGCATGCCCTTGCTGTGCAACATAATCGGTAAATATTCCCTACAGTGTTTAATAATTTTCTGAATGTTTTGGCTTTCAAACAGCAGTATAACTAGATTCAGTATAATAGCATGGGATCTATGCCATAGGACCTAATCACCAAACTAAACTACATTGCATTTTTTTGGTATCATCAATCCAGGAGCTAGTCATTTGTTTGCAACCCATAATGCTCTTGTGAAAGCCATTAATTATGAGCAGTACAACAGCAAAACGTTTCCAAGCACACTCACCAGCCAACATGCAAAAACACTTTTGTACTGTATAAAGCCCTTCCATGTGCACCTTGCTGTAAAGCTGGTGACAAATTGATGAGTGCGTTTGCCATTTGTTTTGCTTGACTAATTTGGTGCAGTGACGCAGGTGGGGCCTCAGCTGTCGTTGTGTTGTGTGGGGTCCCTTGTGCGCCCCTGTGCCTTTAAGGGTGGTTGGGCTTCCTCCTGACAAACCTGCACCCAATTTTATCTTTTGTTACATGTGCTCCAAGATGGAGACTCTCATAGTTTAGAGTTAGGACTGCACTATATAGAGGTGCCTTGGCGCGGCTGTGCAGCTTTCACATTTTCTGCAGAATACGTATGTCTAAACCTCTGTTTTTAACCTCAGCTGTTAGACAAGTTTTTTTGCATGCTGGCTGGTGAGTGTCCTGGGAAACTTTTTGCTGTTGTACTGTATTAAGCCCTTCTATGTGCACCTTGCTGTAAAGCTGGTGACAAATTGATGAGTGCGTTTGCCATTTGTTTTGCTGAAATTATGAGCAGTTCTGATCTGGAAATTTCCACAGCAGTTTGTCACACTGATCATACATGCTCCTATCGCATAAAATCTGTTTGACTTACTTAAAGAAGAGCTCCAGTTTTCTTTTACATTATGGGTTTAATGCTTGTTTTGGTCTAGTGGCTAAAATAAAGAAGATGTAGGGAGCTGATCCTTGGTCCTGTGGCAGTGACCGCTCACCTCTCTACCCCTCCACGAGTGTGGTATGTCCCTCGGCGTCCTGATGTCTAATGGATCTGCATTAGACGTGATGACATCACGGGTCCTTAGACCACCAGAGGCCAGGGAAGAGGAAGCTGCAGTGAACGGTCTAGCAGCCAGACAAGATCAAGGATCCAATGAGAATATTTTCTTTATTTTTGTCCCTAGACCAAAACAAGAACTTAACCCTGGCAGTGTGAGGGTAGTCCCACTGATAGGGTTATTTTGAAAAAATCCTGGAATTCTCTTTAAACTGGCCACAAATCCCACACTAGTCTGATGGCCAAATATGATGATCAGGCAAAGATCGGTCTGCTTAGCCAAGGGTAGGATAACGTGCTGGACAATCTCTATTTAATGTGGCCCAAGGTATTACCCATATATTGATTATTTCAGCCATTTTCAAGCACAGTGGAACATCTCAGTGCTACTATGGGTGAGCATATGTTCCATCTATGGCTAACCTTACT